TGCGTGCCACGTCACCACTAATCCCAGCACCACTACTCCCAACACCACTACACTAGGAAAGACACACCACTGACGATAATATGACACGTGTTTCGCCTCCACACGAGGCATCTTCAGGTGATATAGACTTTACGGTGGCTAACCGCTAAGTAAGCGGCGAGCCAAAACAAGCGCCTTTTATACAGACCGATGACGCAACCTCTCTCTACTTAAGGAGTGAGCGACTGCGTCATGCGATAAAGCATTTAAACAGGCCTCGTTATCGCATAAACGCACTAAAATGATAACTCAAAATGGAAGCGATCTTAAAGTGACCTCACGAGTCTAGCGAAAAAATAGCAATAGTAAATTCCACACGCATAAAAGACCGGACGTTCATCGCAATCAATATTAACTTCCAAAACAATAAACTGACCCAGCGTCCGCGCAGACAATCTCTTTTTCTAGACTCAACAAAACTCCTCGTCGTTGCATAAACTTGCTTACAAAAACCGACACCATTAAGAGGTTATACGGTACGCGACAACGCTGTTCTATTAACTGCACTGCATTGTTTCGACTTCTGATGCACCACACCCAAAAGCAACTCCCAACTCGCGCGAACGTCAAACCGGTAGGAATGCACCTAGCCGAACGCCCTCTAGCGTCAATTCTTAAAATTAGCGTTTGGCGCGAACACTACTGTTTTAATATATTTACATCTGGGGGCAATGCAGTACCCCCGCCAAGTCGAGCAAAAAAGCGGCACGGCCGTACCATCCTTTTCTCTAAGCAGTTCAGGCCATTTTCGAAAGTTTCGAAAAAGGCCTAAAGTTTATATAACACTCGCCATACGAAACACAGAAACATTAAGCTACAACATGTGCTATCCATTTATGCTACAACCATAAAATAAGTGCAGCATAGCTTTACCACGTAACTCACAAAGTAAAACACGAGTGAGTAGGCTCCAACGGGAAAAGATCACGTTCTACAAAATACTACTATAAACAAGCAGTTTGATGTACTTCGTATAACCAGAGACCCATTTTACTGTTAATAAGGCATTCCAGAAGAACAGACAGATCTCAAAATGCATGCGGCGGGACTTACGCAACTTCAATACAGCTTGTATTGAAGAAGCGATCGAGCGGAACCAAAGCTCCAAAGTCTTTGCCAGAGATCTGTCTGCCAGAAAGAGCCAACTTCGACCGAGAGGTCAATCGACGGATTCAACTCGGCTGGGCAGCGTTCGGGAAACTACGACACATCTTCTTGTCAGACATACCTCAAAACCTTAAAACGAAATTGTACAACCAGTGCGTGTTGCCAGTGATGACTTACAGATCTGAGACGTGGTATTTCACTGCTGGCCGATGAGGAAGCTCAAAGTCGCTCAGCGAGGTATGGAGAGGGCTATGCTCGGGGTTTTTCTGCAAGATAAACTTAGAAATGTGTATATCCGCAGTAGAACCATAGTAACCGACATAGCCCAACAGATTAGTAAGCTGAAGTGGCAGTGGGCCGACCATATAGCTCGAAGAACCGACAACCGATGGGGAAGAAAGGTTCTTGAGTGGCAGCCTCGTACCGGTAGGCGAAGTGTAGGGCGACCCCCCACGTGATGGAGTGAAGACCTGGTAAGACATGCAGGAAGTCGATGGATGCAGGTGGCTCAGGACCTTGCTTTGTGGCATTCCTTAGTGGAGGCTTATGTTCAGCAGTGGACTTATGAAAGGCTGTAATGATGATGATGATTATGAGGGCATTCCATCTTAGACCGTAAAGTTGACAACAAAGTCTATATTTAGATTCTTAATTGATGATAGATGTAGGGGTCCATTGGCTTATTACTATCATGTGGACTCTTTTGTCACTCATGTTCTATAAAAATATTCCAATTATATCTATATAATCATTAAATTACGCAGTGGTGTTAACGTTTCTGAAGCCTGCCCATGACGTGAATAAATAATTCGAGTAGATCCATTAACAATGCCAATTGTTTGCGGTTTGTAAATGTACGGTTTATTTTTTGGAACGTATACAAAAGACGATTAAATATGGCATAAAAATTGCATAAAATAAATGATCTATTAAATAATACAATGTTGAAAGGTTTCATTTTAGGGTTCAACTCGTATATAAATCCTTATACAAACGGCATTTTACTATGACATGAAGATTGCTTAAAATAAATAACCCGTTTACTGTAGTACGGTTGATATTTTTTCTTTCTAACTTTTTAACTACCATTAATGGAGAAACTAAGAATTGACAGCCTGGAACAATATTTTCTAAAATTAGTTACTAAGTAAGTTTTAGAAATTATTTTTTAAGTCGTTTGATACTGGCTTCTAAGATACAGTTTTTCAAATTGATTTGAACCAGGGTTTCATTTATTTTTTAATTTACATATATCTTTATATATAAAAATTACGTGTCAGATTGTTTGTTCGCGATGAACTCTTAAATGACAAAACTGATTCCAATGAAATTTCTCACACTGTGTGCAGTTTGGTCCAACTTGAGAGATAGGATATTTTTTATCCCGATAAGTGACACTTAATATTTTTTATTACGAATTTAAGGATTTTTTATATGAAGGGTTGTCAAAAAGGGCAGAACAATGTCTGCCTGGCCAGCTAGTTTTATTATATATTTATTTTTATCTTACACAGATATCGAGTTATAATGTGAAAAAAATTTGTGTGGTTTTCCATATAGTGGTTGTGTAAGAATATCCACTATCCCATATCATTACGTGGGTATTCTAAGAGGCGACAGGGAGAAACAAACCAGGAGAATAGCGTCTTTCTAAAAATAACTATAAAATAAAAATTGCAGTTTCCACCCTGTATGCCAAGCGTGGCAACGGCAGATATCCCTTAGCAATTTATGGGAAGCCCTATGTTCAGCAGTGGATTTTGATCGACTGTAATAATGATGAAGATGATGTTAATAGTCGACCACTTAAAGGCGAGACGAAGATTAAAGATTCGAAGATTTATTACAAGTCGTCTAACAGAAAGTGCCGCTTTGGAATTTGGATATGAAGATTTATTAATTTGGATATGAAGATTTATTTTAAAGACTGAAGACTTAATGAGTTCAAATAAGTTATCATTTTGCACGACTAGAAAAAGACGTAATACTAATTTGTCAACCACAATGCCGCAGAAGGAAGATGTAAAAGAAAATAAAGGTGAAGACTAGGAGTTAGATACACAGATTTCATTAAAAGACTTAAAGAAATCAATGAACATTTTATGGAGATGACACCTATCCTATTGAGATATTTATTGACGAATTTGAAGATACTGCCGAAATTATAAAGTGGACTAAAGTCGAGAAGCTGGTCTTTGAATACCAGCATAAAATAGCAGCCTAATGCTGCTGTATTTCGTATGGTGAGTCTAGAGAACTGGAGATCCATTTTACTGGAAAAGAGGCATTCTATCTTAGTCCTCACGGCTGAAAATGCATCTGCATTTTAATTCGCAAACGAAGATAGATGTAGATGTCTATGGACCACAGCAACCACTTACCATCAGGTGGACTGTGTGCTCGTTTGTCACCCTTATTCTATAAAAAAATGCAAAGAGACTTTTAGACGGTATTGCCAAGCTATTTTTATGATCGCTGGGAAGAGTAAAGGACTACGCAAGTTTGAAAAAGTCACTTATGGAAGAATTTGGCCCCAAGATTAATAGCGCAATCATACACAAGAAACTTTCATCGCGTAAGATGAGGAATGATAAAACTTACCAACAATATTTCCTGTCTATGAATGAATTAGCACTTCATGGCAAGGTTGAAGACGCTGAGCTGACTGAGTATGTCATTGATGTTATTCGTGACCTAGAGACCAACAAAATTATTTTATATGGTGCACCAGATATAAAGGATTTTAGAAGAAAGTTGGAAATCTACAGTGATTTTAGAACGAAGGTGCCTAACAAATCAGCACAGTATGGCCAATCACAAGGGCATCATTCAACCCGTAAAATGACTCATGTAAAAAGATGTTACAACTGTGGCGAACTGGATCATTAATCGCCCACATGTCCAAAGGGAATCAAATGCTTTAAATGCATTGAATTCGGTCACTAATCAACTGAATGTAATTAACTGAATGTACAAGGAAACCCAAGAAGACGCTGAAAATTAAAAATAAAATTGAAGAAGAGAAAGTGCCCTACAAAATGATAAACATTCATGGTAAAGAATTGGTTGCCCTAATAGATACTGGAAGTAATATTAACCTCATAACAAAATAAGAATCCGAGAAGGTTAAAGAGGGAATTATAGATTATAAAACAGAATCAACGTGTATAACAGAAATCGCCGAGCAACAAATTCTTACCGAAGGAATGTTAAATTAAAAGTTAAATTAAACAGCCAATGTTCAAATTGATAATTACTATACAGATTTCAAGTTTCATGTTGTGAAAGACAACGAAATACCGGTAACTTTACTGATTGGAAATCCTATCCTTAAAGATTTCGAAGTGTGTTACCATTTGCTGTAGAGACTGTCAGCACGTGGACCCCACGGACGGATAGTCTCTACAGCAAATGGTACAAATATGTAGCCATCTTTCAGCGACTTATAATTGCGCCACTTACTCAGTTCAGCTGCCTCTGATGCCGCCCCGTCTCTAAACGTGGTACCCTTGAGATGAGAGGCCGCCAAAGTGTCTACGCAAGTAACATCCCACACTAGGGCTTTACTTCTCTTCCAAGGGATCAATATCATACGCGTCAGGTCTCTTGCCATCGTCTCTAAATATTTCACAAGGCTCTAAAAAAATCGAGGGAACATTTATAGAGATAAGAGCCTTTCGGATGACGTCTTTCAAAGAACCGTGCCGTGAAAACCTAACAGCACCTTTCTTACATGTCCGTGGAGCCCAAACTTGTCGACGCTGCTACCACAAGGACACTGATAAGGTTGACAAATCCCCGCTCCTAGTCAGATTCATTCCTTCACTCTTGAAGGTGTCTTTATACAAAAAATTATGTATCTCACACTTCTCATGGAGAAAAAGGACAATGAGCAAGAGTATGATATAGGAGATTCTAAATACGCGGAAAAGATTTGTAAGATGTGTGAAGAGTATAAACCTAATGAAAAGAAGAAAGAAAGTAACGTTGAATTGAAAATAATACTTACCGATGAAGAACCAGTTTTTCAGAATCCCCAACGTTTGTCACCCTTAGAAATGAATGCCGTGAATATGCAAGTAGAAGAATGGTTAAACAAAGGAATAATTAAACCAAACAAATTTGATTTCGCCTGCCTTGTAGTTCTATCTACTAAAAAAGATGGGTCACGTAGAATGTGTAAAGATTTCGACGATTAAATAAAAAGGTAATTAAAGAAAGATTTCCCTTACCTATAATAGAAGACCAGATAGAAATGTTCACGCCCCTTGATCTGAAGAATGGCTTATTATACGTGAAAGTACACAAAGATAGTCAAAAGTACACCTCATTCGTAACACCACAAGGCAAATACGAATTTCAAAGAATGCCTTTTGGATTGTGTACAGCCCCATCTGTGTTTCGAAGATTTATTTACGATATCTTCAGCTATCAGATTACCGATGGGACACTGCTAGTGTACCTTAATGATTTAATCATACCCTCGATAACAGAAAAAGAAGGAATAAGTAAGCCAGAGAAAATATTTAAAAGAAGCGAAGAATTCGGTCTAGAGTTTAATTGGAAGAAATGCCATTTTCTTAAGAAGGAAACCCAATATCTCAGATACATTATTTGTGACAACGAAGTACGACCATCTCTAGAAAAGATTAAGGCTGTAGCGAATTTCAAGAAGCCAAAAAATACAAAAGCTGTGCAGTCATTCCTTGGACTGACAGGGTATTTCAAAAAGTTTATAAAAAACTATTCTCTGATTGCAAAACCGATGAAGGATTAGTTAAAAAAAGATGCTGTATTAAATTTTCATGAAAAGTGTGAGAAAGCTTTTATAGAATTGAAACAAGTAATGTGTTACTCACCAGTTCTCAAATATTCAATCCAGATTTAGAGACAGAATTACACACCACGCAAATACTGACGGATATGGATCTGTTATTCTACAAAGAGCCTTAAAGACAATCAATTTCACCCAATGCACTACATGAGTAATAAAACGACTCCAGCTGAAAGAAAATACCATAGTTATTACTTAGAAATTTTAGCTATTGTTGCTGCCATAAAGAAGGTCCGAGTTTACCTTCTTGGGATAAATTTTAAAATAGTTACAGATTGCTCTGCTTTTACTATGACACTACAAAAAAAGGACTTACCACCTAAAATCGCTCATTGGGGCCTGCTTCTAGAAGAATACGACTACAAGATCGAACACAGACCAGGAACACGAATGAGACACGCCGACGCACTGAGCAGATATCATATCTGTATGATACTACAGCTCGTTCAAAGAAAGCACAGAATGAAGATGACTATGTGAAACTGATAAAAAAATTTTAGAAGCAGAAAAATATGAGTATTATATCATACTGAACGAAATACTATAATAAAGAGAAAGATGGAAGTAAATTGATTGTTATGCCTAAGAAAATGCACTATGAGAAAATCAGGAAAAATGACGAAAAAGGATATTTTGGAATCGTAAAAACTGAATAACTGATTAATAGGGAACATTTCATTGAAAATTTAACTGAAAAAATTAAAGTCATAAGTATTGGTATTAAATGCATTCTCATGTCGCACAAAAGAGGTTAAAAACAAGGATTCCTACAACCGATATACAAAGGTAATGTCCCACTATCGACATACCATGTGTGGATGTCGATAGCGGGATATTACCTAGGATCATCTAGGACCAATGACTTCGACTCACAAGAGTTCCAAATACATCCTTAACGTCGTGGATGCTTACACGAAATTTACATGGATTTACCCTGTTAAGACTTCAACCATGGAAAAGACTTTAGAGAAACTAAGACTACAACAACAAACTCTTGGAGCACATGAAAGAATTATTACTGATCGAAAGGCTGCTTTTACTTCAAGAGACTTCCAGGAGTACTGTAATAGTGAAAATATAACACACTATACAATTACCCCCGGACAACCCAGAGGAAACGGCCAAGTTGAGTACATCCATCAGATTATCATCGCCGTGTTGACCAAACTAAGTGCTGATGACCCGACTAAATGGTATCGCCGTGTGTCCAAAGTACAACGATGTTTGAATGGAACATACCGAAGAAGTATAAGAATGACACCATTTGAACTGCCTTTTGGCACTAAAATAAGAGATAAAGATGATTAACTTCAGAAATTAATAGAAGAAGAAAGCATACAGAATTTTAACAAGAAAAGAGAAGAACTCAGAAAGAAGGCCAAAGAATCTATACAGAAAGTACAAGAAGAGAACATAAAAATTTATAATAAAAAACGAAGGCAGCAACATCCTTTAATATTGGAGATTTGGTAGCCATAAAAAAGACACAGTTCTCACAAGGGAGTAAATTATATCCTAAGTACTTGGGACCCTATGAAGTTGTCAAATGCAATTCGAACTATCGTTATGTTGTAAAGCAGATTGTTATCAGCAAAGGCCCGATTAATACAATTACCTTAGCTGATCTCATGAACCGTGGATTTCACCGGAAGACGATTCATCTGGGTCAGATGAATGATCAAGATGGCCGTGTGGGATAATTTAGCAATGAGTAGTTTGTTTTTATTGTTTGTTATAGAATATTGACCTTCTTGGTTTATTGAACTGAAAATTAAACTGTAAATGAAAAAAATGTCATTGCAATCAATATATAAGAAGATGAAATATGTTTTTGGTGACTGATAATTAAAGAAGCAGTATAAAAGTGAGTGTTTCGTCTCAAATTCTTGAAATATCCCCAATATATGTATATATATATATATATATATAAATTGAAAATTGAAAATATCTATATCAGTTTTTTATACCTGTGGTCGTAAGCAAGACTGCTAAACATGAGGTTTCTGGTTAAAATCCTTTGTCAGGCCAAATAATAATCTATTGTGTCATTCTGTATTATATAATCCTGTCAAGTGTAAATGGCTAGTCATCGTAGAGAAAATCCGTGACCGAAATTTGGTCTGAAGGATAATATTATTATTAAAATATAATAATATTGTCCTTCAGTCAGTCCTATCTATTTTCTGTTATGAAATTATTGTAACGGACTATAAATCAATTTTTACGTGGGTTATCATTTTATAGTTACAGCATGAATCGGTCGATTCGATCGGGAAAGGATCACGCTCTGACAGAATACCAGCGCAAAATAGCATCTTAATGCTGCTATGTTTCGTATGACGAAACGAAGCATTTTATCTAGTTAGGTAGGTATTTTAAGTCCGTTTTTACTTTTTGTTAAAAATTATAATTATCGATTTCACAAAACGTACTCATTTTTTTGCGATAAAATATAGCCTGGATCACTCCCGGGATTGCTTTCCATCTGTTCGTGAAATTTCATCACAATTGGTACCTTTTTGATGGCTAAGCCAATGCTGCTCCCCCCCCCCCCCCCACCCGCCTGCCCGCCCCGTCAGATAGACAGACAGATAGACAGATATCGATTTTTTTTACAAATCACTCCTGTGTTATTGGCATGCAAATAGCCAGCTAAGATTGATTAAAGACTGTTATGTCGATAATACAGACAGACAATTCAATTTTATGTATACATGTATAGATAAAAAAACTACACTAAATATATTATATAATCAATTCTATAGTCTATTCTACAATTTTAAGAGAATTTGTGTCTGTAGTTCTAATATTCTAAGCAAGAACTTCGTAAATGTCATAGTGGGATGTACAGACGGGGAGCGTACTCGTATTCGAGAACCCGGGGACGATCCCTGCCGGTACGATGAAGTTGTTACTTGGAGTTTTAAGTACTAATTTACCACGTGTTCCATGGTAAAGGCAACCTGCATGTCTGAGAAATTTAAAATATACATTTTGAAGACGTGTTGTGAAATTCGTGAACACGTATTGGGACAGAGCAGTGAATATTTCCCTGCTCTATAAAGCGGCCGTCTCAGAAAAAAGAATAGGCCTATGACCAGGAGAGGAAAATTTAAAAGCTCAAACTTTTATGACCTCAATCGGTCAAATCGTACAGAAGTTACATGATCACAAGCTAATTGATGCACCAAATATATAATAAAGATATGCCTATAATAGGGTCCACAACTGGTTAAAGAAGTTCAGTTTGTTCAGTTTTTCACTTAGCCATTAAAAACCTAGTTGTTAAATAATTTAAAACTAGTGGGATGCGGGAAGTAAAGACTGTGAGAACCTCCGAAGGAGGCGGAGTTATAGCCGAAATAAAATTTAAAATTTTTTGGTTTTTGGCCATTTTGACCCCCTAAGAGTGTAATGAGAACTTTTTTGCCCTTTTCAATCATGACGCTCATGACATCCTCTACTTTATAAGCTATTCAAACTGACTATTCCTCAATTTCGAGTCATCCTCCATTTCTTTGGATTTTAGCCATTTCGACCTCCTAGGAGTGTAATCAGAAATTTTTGCCCCTATTCGACTATGACCCCATGAAATTCTGTACATGATAGGCTATTCAAACTGACTGGGCTTAAAGTTCGAGCTACCCCCCAATTCATTTCTAAAGTCTTTACTTCCAATAAAATTAGTTTGACTATACTGCCTAGACGATAAATTGGACAAGTTAAATTAGTGAACTCGGTGCGTCGACTTGAAACTTTTTCAAACATTATGAAATCGTATATTAGCAGCAGATTATAGCTTTTCTCATAGAAAATAAAGTTAATATTTTTTACATAATTTCCATTTTTAAGAAGGCACGGATTTAGCACAGAAGTGCAAGCACAGGTTTTTGACGGTAGAAATAGATAATAGGGTGGTTTCTACCCAAGCTGAGTACTAGGCAGGAAAGTAGTCATACCACCTAGTCTTGTAAGGTCTGGCAACCCAATGCATTTTAATGCCTAACCTGTCAGTAATATTCGCGCGCAAAACCACTCAAAGTTTCGTTGTAATCGAATAAATAATAGAACGCTTACGTGAAAAACAAAGAAACCTTTTTTAAATATGGATAGAGTAATGTGAAGTCACAGCCTATATAGGTCCCACTGCTGTGCACAGGCCTACTCTCGTTTTTGAGAAGGTTATAGAGCTATTAAATCGCCGTATTGGCATACGTATATATAGGTATGCCAATACGGCGTATGTATATATACGTAATATACGTATTGGCAGACTTCATAATATGTCCTCAAAATTATTTGTTTCTTACAATGCGTACATATTATATAACATAACATGTTATAAAACATTGCTATATATTGTGTATCTCTTTCATTTAGTATTTTTCTCTAGTCAATAAACTAGGACGAACCCAGTATCTACGTTTTTTCTTTTGTTATTTAAAAGTACAATAAATGCTGTAGCAGCTAGCAAAACGTCCTAGTGTCGACATTGTGAATAGCACTGCAGAAAGACAATCGACAATGTCATATAACATTGTTATAATGCATTGTTATTCTAATGTGTACAGTATAGTTATATGTTGCAATGTTACAAACAATGTATAATAATGTGGACGTATTATAAAACAAAAGTCACACTACATGTAACGCACTGTACGCATCCTTAGACATCCAGATTTCCTCTCATTTTCTCTTTCGCGTAATCGCATTTAATAATCTTATAAGTGCCGGCGAGAACTGAAATTCTGAGACCATAAGGGCTAGGGACTTGAAATTAGGTAGGAGTATTTATTTTACCGAGTAGAGGTTAGCTAAGAACGGATTCTAAAAAAATTCCACACGCAAGGGGGTTACGAAGGCGTTAATTAAAAAAGTCTTTATATTGGTAGGTGGCATTGGTCGTGGGACATTCTCGTTTATATCCATAGAGACAGGGTTATTTTGCAATAACCAGCCAAATTATTTTTATCAGCAAAATTCAAAATACATAGTGTTTAGGCCCAAACATGGTCATTTTGAAGCGCCATCCAATAGCGTTGACTCGGCACCCAATGGTATGAGGTGAGGTGAGCGCCGCCGGGGGGGGGGTGCCGTTTGCAGTCGCTCGACGCGCGGGCTGACGACAGTAGCTTGAGAGCAGCGGTGCGGTCGATTCACGTATTTTGTAGTGACCAGTTTAGTAAGGTTTTTCGCGCGACCAGTTTCGGCTTTTGTGATCTAGAATTTTAGTATTTGTGCGCGTTTAATTCGCTATTTTATTTGTGGTTCGTGAGGACCGCCGCGGAATAGTTTGTCTAAGTTGTACGGTCGTGACAAGATGCTTGTATGGAATTTGACTGATTAAAGTAATTTCTTTTGAAAGTAGTTGCGCTAATTGTATAGCCCGCTGTGCTGGCGAAATGTTTCATATTTGCGGCGGTTGTGATCAAGAAGGTGAATTTAATGTGCTCTTTGAATACTTGTGCATATGTTTTTGTAAATGTATTTGATCATTATGTTTGCTTTGTTGAAAGGAAAATTTAAATTGAACAACACTATTTGTGCCGCATGTAATAAGAATCATTCCTCTCTTTGTTTTCTCATTTTGTTGGCACTGTCGAAGATATTTGTTTTGAAAAGAAAATTTCCTTTTTTTTCTTTTGGCTATCTCTTATGTTTGTCGTTTTGCTTAATTTGTATGTTTGATCTATGCGCATCGGTAAATTAATTTGTTTGAATAAATTCAGTAGTTGAGCATTGATGCTTTTGAAACTTGGTTGAAATATGAGGTTCGACCCTCCGGCTTGCCCACATTGGTGCGGTATTTTTAATGCCGTGGTTAGGGTTGTAAGATCTGATGGGGTGCTTAAGGTGGCCTAGGTTTGGTTGTAGATTCCGTCTTGCAACGTGCCGTCGCGAACCTGTCCCGCTTGCCGGTTTGCTCGCGGACATAAGTCCTTATGTACGGGACGGGGGTTTGTATAGGCCCAAACATGGTTATTTTGAAGCGCCATCCAATAGCGTTGACTCGGCACATCGCCCGATGGTGTGAGGTGAGGTAAGCGCCGCCGGGGGGAGGGGGGGAGGGCGACAGTCGCTCGACGCGCGGGCTAACGACAGTAGCTTGAGAGCAGCAGTGCGGTCAATTCACGTATTTTATAGTGACCGCTGCAGCGGATTTTCGCGCGACCAGTTTCGGTTTTTGTGGTCTAGATTTTTAGTATTTGTTCGCGTTTAATTCGCTATTTAATTTGTGGTTCATGAGGACCGCCTTGGATTAGTTTGTCTAAGTTGTACGGTCGTGACAAGAGGCTTGTATGGAATTT